TTTGGGTTATAGCAGTGGTTGCTGTCACGTCTAAAATAAGATTTCGGCCCGTAATTCGTCGATATACGTTATTCATTGTTTTGAGTAGTTCCTGACGAAAGATGCGCGCCGAAAAAGTGTATACGAAAAAGCCGAATGCATGCGAACCATATGATAAGATGCGTACAATTCCTGCACATAAATTGTCCTGTGCAATTTGTAGGGGAGATTTTTTCACACTCAGCGTGAATGTGTAATACAATTTTTGACCAGCAAATGGAGCAGTGAAGACGATGATCAAAGTCACTTGCATGAGAAGCATTGCCAACAATTGATGGTCGCGTCGTGCAGTGCTTTTGGTAGATTGTGTACCACTCGATAAAATCTGCCGGTGAGATTGTCGAAGATTGCGAAGTGTAGCTAAACCAAATGCCAACATTGTTAGAGCTGGAGCTAACACATAAAAGACAAGATATTGAAGATCCGAAAAGATACGATAGGGTCCCGATTGTGCGTAGCATGTAATTGAACTGGAACTTTTCTGAACGCCAAAGTAAATAAGCACATTGGAGAATGACACGATGCATATGATGACAGTTATTACAATGACTGTACGAGCGAATGGCACACTGTTAAAGCGTCGCTGTATTTTTATGCTTGATGCCCACCGATCAATACAGGCCAATAAGATGAACGAATTCTATATCATTCGTCGACAGCATCTTTTGTCGACAGACATTTCGTCGACAATTTTTCGTCGACATACATTTTGTCGACAGGCATTTCGTCGACAGCTACTTGGTCGACAGTACAGTTTGTCGAAGACATTTCGTCGACGACTTTTTGTCGAAAGCTATTTTGTCGACATATTTCGTCGACCATCAATTTAATCTATTGTGTGCTCATTGATATTATGAACTTCTATTTGTTAACAAGAAAAGAGGGCTTATGATTAGATTTTACTTTGACTAGTCGATTCAAGAAGAAAGAGATTGATCTCATCGAATACCTTGAAGGTTTATCATTGTTGGTCTCAAAGAAGAAATGATTCAGTATTAAAGTAGAAAAAAAAGGTTTCTGTTTGTTTGTCATTTGTCATCTTCTTCTTATGGTAAATTTTTCTGGTTGTACTTCGTAAATTTGTTCTATATTGATCAGTATACTATTTTTTATTTTCTGTTGTATCTCTTTGATTAAATAAAAAAAAGAGATAGATTGGTACTTTTTAATATTAATATTTTATCACAAATATTTGTCGACGAAATTATTGGTCGACAAAATAATTTCGACGAAATGTCTGTCGACAAAAGAATCTGTCGACAAAAAATTGTCGACAAAATATTGTCGACAAAATGTTGTCGACGAAGTTTTGTCGACGAAATTTTGTCGACGAAAATGCCTGTCGACGAATGATATAATTACCATATATTTAAGGTTCTTCTGATTGAATGTAAAACTGATGATCGGTTGATAAAAATTTTCATACTTGAATAATTCCAATTTTAATAACAACAAGTGAAATAATGACTAGCAATACTTCGACTTATTATAGATATAAATATATAGGAGCTCGTATATCATTAACTCAAATAAATGACAAAACACAACGTTGAAAAATACAAAATGAACATTAACCTAAAAATCGAGGATGAATCTGATTATTACAGGATAGAAGAGAAGAGTGTAGATGTATAAAGTGAGAGTGTAGATGTGAAAGCCTTTTCTATATTCTTATATAATTACCCAATTCTTTTAAGTCAGTGAATATTGTGAAAAATTCTTTGTATATCACAATCGGAATATACACAAAAGAATTGATCATAAGGAATATTGAAATAATAGGACATAGACTTTGTATAGTCCTCACTATCAACTAATTTTTACATACTACAGATTAAACTAATAAGATATTTTCATAACTGTATAGCTCATTCTTGATTGTTTCTAGAAAAATCTTGAAACTTGTACAAACAAATAAACAATAAGGAATTTTGTCGAGAATATATTTTATTTCGTCAGTAAGATTTTCATCATATCATAGTATATTTATCAATTATGCAAAGACAGAAACCGTTTTCTTGATGGAAAATGAAAATGAACGGTCATGGTGTCAATGTGAAACTTTGTTTAACTTGATACTGTAATCAGATCGATCTAAGAAACGAGATGAATCGAAATAAAGAAATGTCTACTTTCGTTGAATGATAAGAATAACAAAACGATATCATTACATGAAGAACAAACATGATAATACGAGTTATTTAAAAAAGACTTCATGATAATTACAATAAATGACTATTATCATAGAAGAAAATATCTCGCTATTGTTTAATAAAAAAAAAATGTTTCCATTTAAAAAGCATAAAAACTCTTTCTATCATTTATTCAATTCATTGACAATCATTTTATATTTTTAATAATTGATTTTAACAATTTCAATGTTCGTTTTAATTATCTTATTTTAAAATAATTTGTTGGAATTTATATATGATAATTATTGAATAAAATCAAAAACTAATTTTAATATTATTTATGAAACTATTTTCTATTTGTTCCTGATCAAATTTATTCACCATTATTTATCAAAAGATGATTATTAGTTAAATCAACTTAGTATATTTATTTATCATCGTATTTATTTTCAATAATTTATTTCTTTATTTTTAACCAAGTCAGATATAACTCATTTCATTGGATTAATCATCCGACAGAATGCTCACATACACTGACTCTTGTCATTACAACGTGGTTAGTTACTCTGATGTGTGGACGAAAATATCGCGTTGACAAAACTGTCTCTGAATAAAAAAAATCATATCATAAACGAGCTGAAAGACAAATCTATTCTTCATTGTTTTTCTTCTTATTTTTCCAAATTAGCGATAAGTATAGAAATAGAATGTTTATTACATAACACACACTTTTGAAAATACATCCATTAGAAATACAAATAATGATCATTATTATATGAATGAACTTTGAAACATTTTTTTTGTAAGGCTTATAGTTTTATAAATTCATAAATATTTTTAAAAGTACGTATTTTAATTATGATAATGTAAGATTTGAAAAATAATTAATATATTATAATAGAAATAAATAGAAAAAGATTTTTATCAAGTATTTATTAACTAGGAAAATATTTTAATTATAAATTAAATCCTAAATGAATTAAACATAATTAATTTATGGAATTATTTCATTTGTCTTATTCAATAAAAAAAAAATATTTACTTTATTATCCTATTCAATTTACTTTTCATAGAATTAATTTAATTGAAATAAGATGAGTAAAGAATCGTAGGATACCGATCAAGAAAAATAGACATGCCGCTAATTACGAAAAAAAAATCAAGAAGACTGCCGTTAGCCGCATTTTTTCTAATCTCAATGATTTTAGCTGAAACTACGAAATGATAATTTGTAACAGCTATTACTGACATCAAATATTCATGAAAATTTTAATTAATTGAGAAAAACTTTTATTTATCTTCGACAAAATCTTTGATGATTTAAATACAAGGTGTTCCAAAAGTCCCGTCGAAAAGTTAATTCAAATATCTCTCATACAACTCAAGTGATTTAATTGATTTTTTTTTATAATATGTTAGTGTGTTTTTTAAAGTTTTATTTCGTATATTTTCAGATAAATATCTGTGCCTATAAACATTAGAATTAAAATATTTTTATTAATGGCCGAATTTGAGTCACCTATCGTTATGAAAGGAAAAATGCAAGTCGAATTTTGCATAGAAACGCCAGACATAGACTGTACTATTGATGCTTTCCAAGGCTTTTTCGAAATGAATATAGTAGTAAATATATAACAATCTGAAAGACCTTCAAAAATTACAGAAGAGAAAATCCGCGAAGTTTATGAGAATTGTGAAAATATGCTACTATCGAGTGTTCGGGTTGTTGCAATAGCCTACTTCATTCTATGAACAATAGCAGACCGCATTATCACTGAATATCAATCAATGAACCCATACAGGATATAATTTGTCGTACAACTTCATGAAGAATATTCGCAAGATCGAGTTGAAATGATATAACTTTTATCCACACGTTACAAAATATTCACAATCAAAAGAGCTCTTTTTTTTCAGAAAAAGACTCTTTTCATTTAAATGGCTTATCGATAAATATAAAGTGAACACCTATGTGTATAAGATATATATAAAGATTTGACTATATTCAAAATAACGACCGATACAGAAAAGAAATTAATTCGAAAATAAATTTCCTACAATATGTTTTTAAAGATTTCGAAAACGATAGATTTATATATTTCAGTTGGACGTAACCATTTTGAACATTTGTTATAAACTGAATTATGTGAAATAAAACTTTAAAAGACATACTAGCATATTATAAAAGAATCAATTAAATCGCTAGAGTTGTATAAGAGATATTTAAATTAACTTTTCGCCCGAACTTTTGGAACACCCTGTACATTCTCTGTTCACATACATATATTATAATGGATTATTCAAAACTAAATTGATGATATATCTATGGCAAATCTATATAGAATTAATTAATCGAAATAAATAATTTTTTAATGCATAACTGTAGTTCAATGTTATGGTTATTTTACTAAATTTGAAAGAATATTTTTATGTTATATTTTTTGAGAAAAATTAAAAAAATTTTCTTTTTCTTTCATAATAGCTGATATACCTTTTTGTATAAGATTTATTATTTTAATAGAATAATATTTATTGTATTTTTATTAGACTATTGTAAAATGAAAATATTTTATTAAATTTTCTCTTAAAAATTATTTATTTTAATCATTTAACAATATATAGATTTTTTTTTATAGATATATTATCAAGTTAGGAAGAAGGATCGAAATTTTTCAATCATTCTTTAGATTAACGTTAAAATAACATTGAAAGAATTCATTTTTATTTCACACTTTTACACATTTATTCATTCATAAGAATTATAGAAATTTCGGAGAAAAATATAAATGCACTCACGAAATTAAAGAGAAAAAAAGAAAAATATATTTCTTATTTATGAAATTCATGTCCACATGATGAACAAAATTTAGCTGATAAATCTTGTCTCGGTGAATTACAATGAGCACAAAATGCTGCTAATTGAGAATAATAAGGTGGAGGTGCATAATTATCTTGTTGTTCATAAAAATATGTTGGATCAGGAGCAACTTGATTCGATTGATATAATAGGTTTCTTCCATTACTAGAACGACCAATATCAATAACCAACTAAAAACAAATCAATATAATTTTATACAGAATAATTTTTAAAAAAAATCAGTTAGATTTATTATACATAAAATATATATTTAGAAATTTATTTTCTTTATTCAATGTTAAATAATATACTATTTTACTTCTATATATATAATGTTCAGTGTCTGTCTATGTATGTGTTTCTCTATGCCGGGTCAAAGGTTAAAGTTCAAATAAGACTATAAGGAGAAGGTCCTCAAGGGCTATTAAATGGGAGTATCTATAGGTACTTAAAAGCTGTTATACGGGGTACCTATAAGTCCTCAAGGGCTATTGTATGGTATATCTATAGGACATGAAGAGCTATAATATGGAGATAGCCATAGGTTCTCAAGGAATTGAGGCAATAAGGAGATATGGCTACAATAGCTACAAGGGATACACGGCTATAAGGCCGAAGGCTACAGGGACTATAAAAATATTTGTGATACAAGAGTATCGGACCGTAGGGCTATCTATCTATATACATAATATCGAGTGTCTGTATGCCTGTTCCTGAATGAAAAGTTAAATGTCTTCGATCATACGTTAAAGGAGAAAACAGCCGTGCAGTATGCACGGACTCTCGCTAGTCAATATTATGTTGTTTGTTTTTTAATTATCAATAATTTCGTTTAAATAAATAAATAAAAAAAAATCTTACATGATAAACAAGTTGAGTATTATGATGATATCCATATCCTCGAAACCATGCTCTAGAAGTATCTAATCTCCAACTACATCCTATTGGTGATCTTGACGAATATTTAATTGATTCTTCACTTATTGCTTGTTGCAATCGTCCTAATCGTCTTGATTGTATCATAAAACATCCACAAGCACAAACAATTGGTCCAATTGCAGTTATAGCAATGCCCACACCAATTAATACAGGAAATCCATGTTTACCTGAGTTAATGTTTGTTATTCCTCCAACAATAAAAAATATAATTCCAATTATAATGGTTAAACAAAAACCAATAGTGAAAATTATTAAAATTTTATTTGAAGAAATTCTACGATTTATTTTATTAATTGATTCTCGAAATTCCTGTTGATTAATTATACCATTTAAATGTATTGGATATGTTGAATCAAATTCTGATTTAAAACATCCAGCTAACAAATAAATATAATAAATTATTTAATCAAAATTTTATAAATATTTAACTTACTTTGAATCATTGGTATATAAACGGAATTTGGATTTATTGGAACGCCAATCATTTTCTTTACTTTTTTAGTTAAACGAAATTTTTGTAAATAATTTAATTGATCAAACGAATATTAAAAAATAAAAATTATTCGTCAGAAAACTCGAGTTATACGATATCGAACCAAGATTTCTTTAATCAAATTAAAGAGAAAATTTGTTTTTTCGATTAATTCAATATATCTAAGTTGTTTCGTGTAAAATCTATCCCTAAAGTTTCAGTTAAAAATAACGATAAATCAATGAGAGAATTACAATTCTATTTCATATATTCAATTATTGTTGAAAATAAAATTTATTGTCATGATCGTTTTAACGGTATTCTTTCACATGATTTCTTTTCTTAGGTAATCGACTTTTATGGAACGATAATGACAAAATTGGCAATGTTCATATATTGAATGGTCCGACTTCCGTCGTAAATTTTTCGTAAGATATATATTTCTTTCTAAGAAACTCGAAAAAAGTTAAACAAATTTCATACATTAGAAAGTAAACACAGACAGGACAATTGATTGAGTTCATTCTTATGATGATATAAGATTTCAATTTCACACTTATTTCAGATTACAATAGTAAGATTCTTTAAATCTCTATTTCATAGAAAACAATGTCTAAATATTGATAATCAATATTCGAAGATCGGATTAGTATAAAATTGATATTTATTGTCACTATAAAGAGTGAACGCAGCGATTTGTTTTGCCTGTGTTTACTTTTCAATGTTTGATTTTGGTTTAGCTAATTTCGAGTTTCTTACGAACAAATATATATATTATGAAGAATTTATGATAGAATTCGATGATTTGATATACGAACATTATCAAATTTGTTATTATTCTAATGGAATATACATTGCGTTGAAGTAAATCATTACCGATAACAGAAATTGTCACTTAATAACATCGTTAAAACAATAACGAAAATAAATTTTGATTTCAATCCTATTCAAATATATGAAATAAATCTTCAATTTTCTCATCGATTTTTCATTATTTATGGCTGAAACAACGAAATGGCGATGATGTAGAGAATTAATCGAATAAATAAGACTTTCTGTCTATTGTCATCAAGGATATATAATTAACAAATAAATCTTTAAAAATTGTCAAATAAAACAAAAATCTAATGATATACATCATATAGTAATATAAATATAGTTGAATAAGACCTATGCAGCAGAAAAAACGAAAAAGAAAATGCACCAGTTTGTCTTGATTTTTTATTTTTTTATAGATTCAATGGTAATAAACGTCATTCCACATTTATCTTGTGACGTCGTACACAAGAAAAATCAAGAGAAAAAGAAAAAAATTGCGACTTGCCTTATATAGAACGACAGTTTTTCTTTATCTTTAATGATCAATAAATATAAATGAAAAAATTTTGTTAATATGATCGAATATCAATAGAATTATGAAGAACATTAATTCATTCTTATGTCAATAAAAAAAAAAGAGAAAAGAATTGAAAAAATTATCTAAGATAAAGAAAAATTCGTCAAATTCTTGAGAGATTTATAATAGAATAAAAAAAACAAATATGATAAACTAAAATTCTTAACTTTATATTTAATTTTTATTTATTCATTCTTTAAATCATTCAAAATAAATGAATATAATATTAAATTCAAATATTCATATGATTTTAATTAATGAAGAATAATTTAATCAATTTGAAATATTCGAATTTTCATCATTATGATTAACAAAGATAAATACTTCATTAGATAAAGGGTGAGCCAAAAGTCTTGGTTGTTCTTAGAAAAATTGTTCGTTCTCCCTTATTACAAATCCAAAAATGCTCAAAATTGGACATCTTATCCCTTGTAACTAGATGAATATTACCCTAAATTTTCAGATCTCTAGTCCTTATTATAGGGGAGATATATAGGCGCGTATGATAGAGAAGATTTTTTTTTTCATGTTCCAAAAAAGTAAAAAAAAAATTTATCCAAAAGAAATGTCTAGAATAATTAATTTTCACTATTAATACAATAACAAACAACAGAATGTTTTACATTTTCATAAACCATTACAATCTTTTTTTTTTGTTGACTGAGTAACCTTCTCTATTGATTAAATATTGCAATTTTCTTAGTATTGAATTCATCAATTTTGAGCACATTTGTCGATTGATTGTTCTTCAAATCTCTATAATTTTTTTTTTTTTTTTTTTTTTTTATTAAGCAATTTTACCCTATGAC